AGTAAGCAAGCCCCCCCCCTCTCCTTAACCTCTCAGGTTCAGACACACCCTGGGTTGCCCAGGTAATTACCCACTGACATGGAGATGAACTTCTCTCCACCCCTTAGGATATGCAAATGCACTAAAGCCAGGCGAGATACTCTGGAAATGTTAGAATTTTACCCACATACTCGCATCCTTTTTTGTTTTTTCCTCTTTTAGGATCCAAACATTAATGCCTAGGACAATAAAAACAGCGGTAAACATGGGGAAAATTAGAAAGTGATTTAGCAAGTCCAGGGAAAGGCTAAGAAAGGCTGAAAAGACCTAAGAAGATCTTAAGTTTATATGTCAGGCTGATCCTCATCACAGAGATAACATGAAACAACAGCAAAAAAAAAACAGTAAACAATAACAATTAAAAAAATTAGCAAAACCTTGGGGAAGTAAAAACCATGGGGAGGATGTACTTTACATTGTTACAACATTATTAGATTCCATTGATCAGTGTTCCAAAAAAGAAAAAAATTGCAAGTCATACAAAGAAACAAAAAAATAGAGACCATTCAAAGCAAAAAAAGAAATCAACAGAAACTGTCCCTGAAAAGGATCCAATAGTGATATGCAAGACAAATCTTTTAAAAAATTGTCTTAGAGATCTCAGAGAACTAATAGAAGATGTAAAGAATGTCAAGAAAATTATGTGTGAACAAAATGCAAAGACCAATAAAGAGAGAGAAAATCTAAAAAGAAACCAAATAGAAATTCTGGAGCTGTACAGTACAGTAACTGAAATGAAAAATTCACTAGAGGGATTTAAAGGCAGATTTGAGCAGACAGAAGAAAGAATTAGCAAACTTGAAGATAGGATAATGAAAATTATCAAGTATGAAGAACAGAAAGAAAAAAGATTGAAGAAAAGTAAACGGTCCAAGGGACCTATGGGAAATCATCAAACAGAAAAATACATGCATCCTGGGAATACCACAAGGAGAATAGAGAGGATACTGAATAGAGAATAGAGAAAATATCGGAAGAACTTCTGGCTGAATACTTCCCAAATTTAATAAAAGATATGAACATATATTTCCATAAGCTCAATGAACTCCAAGATGAACTCAAAGATCCCCACACCAAGACACATTATAATCAAACTTTCAAAAGGCAAAGACAAAGAGAATCTAGAAAGAAGCAACAGAGAGTGAATCTTCACATACAGGGATCCTCAATAAGATTATCAGCAGATTTATCACCAGAAACTTTGGGGGCCAGAAGACAGTAGATGAACATATTCAATGTATTAAAAAAAATAAACCAAAAATACTGTAACTGCAAATCTGCCCTTCAAAAGTGAGGAGAAACTAAGACATTTTCAGGTAAACAAAAGCTTATCTTTTGTTTAGACAAAAAGAGAGAGTTTTATGACCACTAGACATGGCCAGCAAAAATGCTCAAGGGTGTCCTTCAGGGTGAAATGAAAGGATACTAGAGAGTAACTTGAAGATGTATGGAGAAATAAAGATATCAATAAGATAAATACAGGAAAAATTATAAAAGTTAGTGTTAATATAACATGATTTAATTCAATTAATTGATTTCTGGATGATTTAAGAGTCTACTACAGTTAAAGAAAAAAAGATTATTAGTGTAATAGCTAATATTACTGTAACTTCAATTTGTAACTCCAAATCTTATTTTCTACATAATTTGGAAGACTGATTCATTTAAAAGAATTATTTGTTTCTATTTTATGTCAATGTATAAAGATGTAATTTTGTGACATCACAACCAAAAGGGGTGGGGACAGAAATATACAATAACATAGTTTTCATGTTATGGAAGTTAAGTTAGTATAAATTCAAGTTAGAGTGGTATAATTTTAGGATGCTAAATGCAATTCCTATGGTAACCATAAAGAAAATATCTATAGAATATACACAAAAGAAATAAGAAAGGAATTTGAACATTTCACTATAAAAAATTAACCAGAGAAAAAGGAAGACAGCAATTCAGGAAATGAGTGGCAGAAAAGTTATAAGGCAACTGAAAAGAAAGCAAATAGTACAACAAAAGTAAGTCCCTCCTATTAGTGCTTACTTTAAATTTAAATTGTTTAAACTATCTGATCAAAAGGTAGAGATCGGCAGAATGGATAAAACATATGATACAACTACATGCTGTCTACAAGAGACCCACTTGAGATCCAAACACACAAACAGATTGAAAGTGAAAGAATGGAAAAACATATTTCATGCAAGTAGTAACCAAAAGAAAGCAGAGGTGACTGTAATAATATCAGACAAAATAGACTTTAAATAAAAAAATTTGAGGCAAGAAGGAAATTTTATATTAATAAAAGGTTCAATACAGCAAGAAATATAACATAAATATTTATACATGTAATGATAGATCATCAAATACATGAAATAAAAACTGACAGAATTGAAGGGAGAAAGAGACAGTTCTACAAAAACAGTTGAAGACTTTAACACTTCACTCACAATAATGGATAGAACAACTAGACAGAATATAAGTAAGGAAATAGAGGACTTTAACAACACAGTAAACCAACTAGATCTTATAGATATACAAAGAACATTTTACTCAGCAACAGTAGAATACACATCTTTCTAAAGTGTATATTGGACATTTTTCAGGAAGACTGTATGTTAGGCCACAAATTGAGTCTCAATAGATTTAAAAAAATGGACATCATACAGAATATCTTCTCTGACAACAATATGATAAAATTAGAAACCAATAACAAAAGGAAAACTGGAATAGTCACAAAATTACGGAAATTAAACAATACATGTTTAACTATCCATTGACTCAAAGAAGAAAATACAAGGGGAATTAGAAAATACTTAGAGATGAATGAAAACAAAACGACATGGTCCCCTCCTTTGGGTGGTATGCTAGGTGTTGATGGCCTGGGGCTGGCCAAATTCAGGTCTGCCTTATCTGTGGAAACTTCTTACTGGGAAGCCCATCTTTCTGACCAAAGTTTTGTCCCTTGGGGAGCTGGTCACACAGAATGATTCTTTTTTGCAAAACACATTGTCTATCCCCTCACCCCTGGCATAGACATAGTCTTGTTCTCCTCACCCCATCTAAGCAGTTCCCTCCCTGTCCATGACAGTAGTGTGCAACCTTGCCCAGCTGGCCACTCCTGAACTCCCTGTACATAGTCTCAGTAAGCCCTCATGTCTTGTACTCTGTCTTCAAGGATTTTCTTAGGTCTCTCGAGCCCTTTCCCATTTCAACTAACTTACTTGGGCATGCAATTGGACTTGAAATCACACACAGACATTTTCACAAA